ACGCCAAAATAAAAGCCGGTTTGATTCTGTCCACCGAGACAGCTTTTGTCTTCCCTTTCACTAACAGATTGAACATCTTGGGGCCACGTTTAACAACCTCATATGGCCCAAGGTAAGGCGGTTGCAGTGAACGACGCACATGATCATCTCGAATAAATGCATGCGTACATTCGTCCAATCCCTTGATAAAAAAAGGTCGTTGCCTAGAATGGTCTGCCGCTGCAACAGGTCGAATCTCGTTCATAATACTAGTAAGCTCGTCGCTGAACTGCGTAGCTATCACGTTTGAAGGAGTTTGTTTATCTAAAAACTCTCCGGGCAAACGCAAAGTTGTACCGAAAACCATTTCGGCTGACGAGGCTCCGAGGTCTTCCTTGAAAGTGCTTCTCAATCCGAGAAGAACCAAGGGAAGTCGATGAGACCAGTCCGTTGTTTCGAAGCACATAAGAGCTGCCTTCATCTGTCGATGGAAACGCTCGACAAGACCATTTGCCTGAGGATGATAGGCAGTTGTCTTAATATGATCTACTCCCAGACGAATACTCAACTCCCTGAACAGAGTGCTTTCAAATTGGCGACCACGGTCCGTGGTCACTCGATGTGGAACTCCAAAGTTTGAAATCCAGCTCGTGATGAATATACGTGCCACAGTTTCAGCTCGAATATCCGCAATAGGAACTGCAATCGGCCATCGAGTAAAGCGATCGACGGCTGTAAAAATATACTGCATTCCATCCGACGGCGGTAGCGGTCCTACAATATCAATATGTACATGTTGAAAACGCTCAGATGGAAGGTCAAATTTGTCTAAGATTGCTCTGTTGTGTTTGTGCACTTTAGCTTGCTGGCATGGTATACAATGCTTAACAAAGTTGGCTATATCCTTCCGCATAGAAGGCCAGAAGAATCGCTGACGGATCAATTTCTGCGTACCTCGAATTCCAGGATGGCTGATGCCGTGCATTTTATTGAAGCATGATTTTCGTAACGAATTTGTTACGAAAGGCCGCATTTTGCCAGTGGACACTTCACAGATCAATTCAAGGCTCGAGTCGAAGTGTTTCAATCGAAGCAGTTTGAAACTGGTGTTCTCGACAGAGAGCAATTGTTGTAATTCAAGATCCACTATTTGATCGGCGGCGAGCGCGGAAAAGTCGAATGATAGTGATGATATTGTAGCGATACGTGAAAGTAAGTCAGCAACCAAGTTGTCTTTTCCCGAGATATGTCTGAAGTCCGTTGTTCTCTCGGAGATCTGCGCCACCCGACGCCGTCTCGTCGGATCGGTGTGATGACTCGTCTTTCCAAACGCACCAAGTAGTGGTTTGTGGTCAGTAAGGACAGTGAATTGTTGGCCCTCCAAATAATGATCGAAATGACGGATAGCCCTCCAAATTGCCAATAGTTCCTTGTCGTAAGTGTCATATCGATATTCGGATGGTTCATGCTTTTTTGAGTAAAACGCAAGAGGTTCGATGACGCCGTCAACTACCTGGTGTAGAACAGCTCCAATTGCAGCATCGCTTGCATCCGTTTCAAGAACAAGGTGTGCATTTTCCTTCGGGTGTGCTAACATTGTTGACTCGGCGAGGAGTCTTTTCGACTCTTCGAACGCCGCACGGGTGAGTTGCGTCCAAAGAATTTTTGTTTTATCATTTTTTACGTTGCCAACGATGAGGTTGTTAAGCGCTTCTTGGCAGTGAGCTGCACCAGGAATAAAACGCCTGTAGAAGTTGATTGCTCCAAGAAAACGGCGGAGTTCCTTCACAACAGTGGGCAATGGGATATTGTTGATCGCTTGGACCTTATCCGGAAGGGGTTTGATTCCACTACCGGTGACGATGTGGCCCAAAAATTGAACAGATGATTGTCCAAAACGGCACTTCGCCAGATTAATCCTCAACCCTGCCGATTGGAGACGCGTTAACACCAATCGCAAATGTTCGAGATGCTCTTCGAACGATGACGACGCCACTAAGATATCATCAATATAAGCAAACGAAAAATTGAAATCCGCCAACAGTCCATTTATCATACGTTGGAACGTCTGGCTTGCATTGCGTAACCCAAATGTCATAACTGGGAATTCATATAACCCAAATGGGGTTACGATTGCGGTTTTTGGAATATCCTCAGGGTTTATAGGTATTTGATTGTAAGCACGCTCCAGATCCAACGTCGTAAAATGTTTTTTTCCGCGAAGCATCCATTGCACGTCGTGAAGATGGGGAATAGGATACGCATCTGGAATCGTTGCCGCGTTCAACCTGCGGTAATCACCACAGGGTCGCCAATTACCATCCTTTTTTCGTACGAGATGTAATGGTGAGGCCCACGGTGAATTAGACGGGCGACAAATGCCCCGTTTAACCATAGATGCAAATTCTTTTTTCGCAGCATCTAATTTCTCGCCACTCAATCGACGCGGCTTGCAGCTGATAGGCGGGCCCGTGGTTTCGATATGATGGATAACCATTGGAGGCTTGATCGAGTCGTCAAACTTCTTTGGTTCGGTAAGTTCGATGAATTCGTCTACGATGGTAGCGAACGGATGTTCTAAATGCAGTGATGATAAGCCGATTCTCGTTTGATCCTTTCCAGTTCTACAAACGCAGGCACCTGTTACTCGATCAGTAATTTTGCCTTCCGAAATACTGACGTCGAGTTTAAAATTGTCGAGGAAATCGGCGCCAAGGATTGGTGTGGATGTGTTGGCAATAGTAAAACGCCAGGTGAATGTACGGTCAAATCCAAGCGAGATCGTCAAATCTCGAGTGCCGTATGTCCCAATTATTGTGTTGTTAACTGCAAGTAATTGCCCAGATTGGCTAGTCGGATCACCGTTCGATGAAGGAAACAGTGACAAATCCGCCCCAGTGTCCACAAGAAACGACTTGTGTGTTTGTGGGTCGTAAACGAACAGACGTTTCGATGAAAAGCAGGTGATGGTTGGGGGTGTAGTTTCCTGCACCCCCACTACTCGTTTTTTGTAACTTTTGGATAAGTGCAGTTTTCGCGGCCGTTTTTCGCCAGATCGCCGAATCTCCAATGATAAAAGCAATAGCCGTCATAATTATTTGACTCACCGTTTCGAGGACTCACTGGAGTCGCGTCACGGCTTCGTGTCCGAGACTCTCTACGTTTTTGATAGTATCCACTTCGGCCTTGATCGGTGTTACGACCACCACTTGTCACTAACCTTTCGATCATGTCAAACAGTTTATCAATTTTGTTGGCTTGTTGGTCTAAGCGTGTACTGAGGGAACGGTCTGCTGATCGTGAGCGGGAGCGTCCTAAGCGTGTACTGAGGGAACGGTCTGCTGATCGCGAGCGGGAGCGTCCAGGTTCTGATTTTCCTCCAATAGCACTGATGCGTGGCTTATGGTCTGCAGCTCCGTAATGTCGTGTGCCTTCCATAATTTTATCTGCTCCGTTAACTAGCTCGTTGATTGATTTTCCATCCTCGAAAGCCAACAAAGGAATTCGCAGCTGCTCGGGAAGGCGTTCAAGCCATAGTTTTTTTGCAAAATCTTCCGGGAAGCTAGGTGCTAATTGTTTCATACGACTCCAGAGCCAACTAGGCTTCTCGTCTCCTAGGGATAGACCCCTCAACACTTGTTCGTATTTTTCCAGTGGGCTATCAGTGAATTCTTTCAAAAGGGCGGCTTTCAATGATGGCCACTTCTTTTCATTCGGTGGGTTTTCAATGACGTGCGGAATTCGGATGATGACTTGCTCGTTGAGTGCCGAAAGCACGCTATAATATTTTTGCTCGTCATCTACAACACCGCATATACGAAATTCCGCTTCAACAGTTTAAAGCCATAATGCTGGGTTGGAGGTCCAGATTGGCTGAATTCGTGGTCGCTTACTTATCGATTCTATGTAACTAATTTGCGTTTCCTCTTTCGATGAATTTGGTGCCTGTTGTCGTGCGGAAAACGCCGTATTCGCCAGTTCTGTTAACGCTGACGAAGCTAGTGAGGTATTCGTCGTCATCTGAGGAATTAACTTTGGAAATGAGACAGAATTATCGACGTCCTGTCGTGTAGTGCCAACTGAATTTTCAATCTCTGCATCTTTTTCATGAACTAAATCTGTTTCGCAACTCTTGAATTGACGCAGACGATTTTGTAGATTGTCGATGGTTCTTTCTCTAATACGCAAAGCCAGTTCGAAGCGTGTTTCCAAATCCTGCATAGCTTGTTGCATTTGCTCCAATTGGACGTTGATATCGGCAGTCGGTGATGTCGATTGTTGAATCGTTTCAGTAATCACTGGCATAGTTGTCAGCATTGCCTCATTATCGTGTGTAACGTCGTTTTCGGGTATTGTGACGTCGGTGTTGTCGTATTCCACACTTCTAAAGGATTCCATCAAATTTGTTCGCACAATAGGAACGGAGGAGGGAGAGATTATATTACCACTTCTCAATTCCATGTAACAAATCGTAAAATTTACAGTGATGTAGTAATGTTAATCAAACGTCGGGGTCACCAATGTGGGAATTCTTATATTTAACACTCCCAACACTAAATAACGATTTAAAATTTCTAATCAACTTTTATTTTTTTAATAACATTGACAACTCTCATTTCTCAACGATTTTTTTATCCCTTGTTATCTCGTCGTCCTAGAAACAAGGATCATCGGTAGCGGACTACCTGGTCGCCACAAGGGCACATTTTAATTATTTTAGAGGAGTAATCAAATCTAACTCGAATACTGAGTAGGCGCAATATTTGACGTACTACAAAAATTACAACCCCCCGCAATCGAGGATTACTACACGTAAGAGTCCGAATTCTAATAAAATTCATAATTTTAAAACCAAAAGGAACTTTGACTTTAAAGAGCCATTGAAGGGTTGCTAATGGATCATTTATACATACTTAATCGAATAACGAAATATAAATATTTGATGTAAGTACTACAAAAATTACAACCCCCGCAATCGAGGATTACTACACGTAAGAGTCCAATTTAGTACAAAACGAGAAATGCGAAATTTAGTTTCGATCGGAAAAGTATTAGCAAATGAGGTTCCGGGTATAGTTATATAGTTTGGCATTGCATACTATATGACTAAAGCTATGCTCATTTTGAATTTCATGCAATTCGGTTCATAACTCGCGGATGTACAGTCACTGACAAAAGTAATGATTGCCAAATAGGTAAATCCTGCTGCCAATCAAAGTGCATATGCCGAGCCCCACATCTGAAACAGAACCAACGAAATCGGAAAGAAAATTGGTTTAGCCTTGCACGGTGCCTTTAACTGACAAAGACATAAGCGCGATTTTAACGAAGAGGGAATGGCAACCTTTAAGGAAACCTTCCTCATTTGGATAAGTCGTGAAAGTTGAATGAACTAGCCTTTACTAAGATAAACTTTAGAAAAATTAAAAACACGAAAGTTCTTATTTCCAACCTAAGAATGGTCTCTTCGCCCAGTATGCCTTAAAATTTCCCTATACCTTATAACATCTGTTGTTGGTCGAACCATCGTTGATTGGTCGCGTCTTACGACATGGAGAGTCTCTGCAGTAGGATTATTCTTTCCCGCCCCTGCACGAGTAAAAATCATTCGATAGGAAAAAAAACATAGAAAATACCATTTGAAGCTGAATACCTCATTTTATGGTTTTCGGTATCAATCTCATTTTACTTCAAAACAGAAGTTTGTATGAGGAACTCTGAACTGATAGATTAAAAGAGACTCTCGACCTTTTTATGTGAATTGTAAAATTTTTTCCCATTATTGATAGGTACCTTCTATTCGAATGTTTATTGTTTGCAGTAAATAAAATAACTGCAGTGTACATACCTTCTATTTTTCCATGTTCAACCTTTGCAATTACGTTGACTCTTTCGTTAGTTTTTCAAGCGTGATGGACGCCATTAACTTTTACTAATTCTTTTGAATCATATCTTCTATTCAATCATAGTTTCTTAATCGTCGTCATTATAAACCTCTTTGTGTAAACTTGTGAAGAATGGAAAGTCAGGTATTGCACTATCGTTTTGTCATTACCTGAAATTATTATTGCGAGTCAGTAATTTATGTAATATTCCTTTGCAGATTGGTTTAATGCGAGGGGGATATTTCCTAGCAGAAGAGTCACCGACGGACCTTTTGGCACGGTTCGGAACCGATAGCTTGGAGGAGGTGTTTCTGCGATTGAGCGTCAAGCAAAATTTGACGAAGCAAAACGGAAATGGTATCGTGAACGAATCGGCCGACATAGAAGATATGCCAAATGGTGAAGCGCCGAAGGGCTTCGGGGACACCCTCACATGCAGATCTAAGGGACACTACGCTAGCGCGCCGATCGATCTCCAATATGTGGAAAAGTCTACCTTCAACAAGTTGCAACTGCTCCCGTCGATAGATAGGAATCATATAAGGACGATGCTGTGGATCAACGGGCTGTGGATGTTACGAAATTTCCCTGTCGTCCTTTTCGTGTTTATGTTACCGCTCGTGCAAATGTCGTTGTTTTGTACGGCGATAGGACGCGATCCGAGAGGCCTGACGGTGGCGATTGTCAATTACGAAACGGGGAATAATGTGAATTGCGATTCCACGTTGGAGTGTAATAGCACGACGCTCAGTTGCAGTTACCTTAGCTACTTGGGGAAAAAGGATGTAAAATTCGTAAGTAGCACGATCCTGATGAAGGGCTTGTGTGTGAAAATTCTCATCCTTCACGTTTGAATCTTTGGTTTGTTACAGGTTTACTACGAAAGCGACTACGAGGCGACCAATTCGGTACTCAAAGGCAAAACGTACGCTTCCATAGTAATCAAGTCCAACTACACCACGGCACTGCAAGCACGCATCGCAGAATGGCGCGACGCAGAACCGTGGGATATCGCAGCAAGCGAGATCGATGTGCTACGCGACACCACCAGCAAAGACATCGCCACATTCCTCAAGATATACATGTACGAGAGCTTCCAGGATTTCATCGGTGGGTATTTGGAATCGTGCGACCTCAGTCCGCGCGCGGTTGCAATACCGTTTCAATGGAAAAAGCCGATCTACGGCGTCAGTTATCCCAATTTTACTGATTTCATGAATCCAGGAATGATCCTGACGTGAGTAACACATTTTTTTGGTTACGACGACTACACACGTCCCAATTGTAGGACCATCTTCTTTTTGTCCGTTGCGCTGACGGCCGGTGCAATGATCATTCAAAGAAATCAGGGCAGTATTGAAAGAGCTATGGTGAGCGGGGTAACTCCCGTAGAGCTCCTGATTACCCACATCATTTGGCAGTTCGTGATGATGATGGTACAGCTGACAATCGTTCTGGTGTGGTCCTTTGTGATATTTGAACTTACCCTGAATGGATCCGTAGTTTTAGTAGCTTTACTCTCCATTCTGACTGGATTTTGTGGGATGTGCTTCGGTAAGTTCCATGTTGGTCGTCCCTAAAGGTACCAAGATCAAATTTTAGGTTTCGCAATATCGTGTGGAGTTGATTCCGAACGGATGGCCACGTATGTTGCACTGGGCAGTTTTTTCCCTTTGGTGATGTTATCTGGAATTGCGTGGCCAATTGAAGGTATGCACTACCTCCTGCAACTATGTTCCTTTTTGTTGCCCCTAACAAAAGCGACCGAAAGTTTTCGAAGCATTTTGCAGCGAGGTTGGGGAATAACGTCACCAGTTGTGTACATGGGATTTATATCTATTGCCGTTTGGACCTTAATATTCCTATTATTAAGTATAGTGTTATTGAAAGTGAAAAAGGGTTAGCTTTATTAAACTATTTCTACATTCGTTTAGTTTAATTTTTTTTCCTACTTCCTCCTTCTATAAGCAGCCTTTAGAAAACTTCGACATACATTCAAGTATTATAGGTACTATAAATCAGCTTAAATGAAGGTATATTAGAGTACCAAAGGTAAGACACCACGCACGGGCATTTCAGTGATTTTGATGCAACAATTTCTGGAGAACCGAAAGTGATCCTAAATTTTGAAATTTAAATAGTACACCCTGTAGGTATATTGCTGTTGCTCCAGTTTGGCGCCAAATAAATAATGCAATGTGAAATGGTGTGCGGTTAACTACATTACCCGCAAAACACCTGTCCAGCTACCTCAAACAAATCACAATTGAAATTTAAAGTTTTTATAACTTCCCGACATCAAAAAAGTATCCACAAAAACACAACATTCGATGGCGGCTACCATAAATTGCAACAAAGAAAACACTAGATGGACATCACAAGGCCGAGAAATGGTCATAGGCGAGTTACCCACGCCCACCTAATGACGAAAGAACCACCAAAAATCTGTGAACAATGCCAGATCCCCATATCAATATACCACCTAATAACCAAGTGCAATATTTTTGAAAACGAACGAAGGAAGTGTACCATTAAGAAAGATCAGAAGACCAACCTAACAAAAAACATCAATGTACCAAACATAATTAGATTTATCAAACTAACAAAACTAAAAATATAACATACTGTATCAACATAATGTGTCACACGGCGCTAATGACCACGTCTTAATTCCAAATTTTAAAAAAATGCACGTAAATCCTTATGTCTACTTCTTAACTATTGCTGTATATTTTATGTTTTGAATAAACCTCCCGAGAGTACGTGGATTATTCTGCTGTAGACGGGATCCGAAAGTCTCCTAAAAATATCGGTTTTTTAATTCTTGACATTTTTTCAGTTTTTTTTTCATTTTTGAAGTTTATACACAAAAAAAGAAAATCTTAAATAATTTAATAAAAACATTGATTTTCTCTTCCAAAAAAAAACATTCGGTACCGTTGCGGGGCTCCAAAATTTTTATTTTTCGGAACCGTATTAGGCATAGGTACATATCCAAATTTGCACTAAATAGCCCAGGCAATACAGAACATACGATGACCTTTGCTTGTAAAATTAATGGTAGTTCTGGAAATAGGCTCACTTTATGTTTTTTGAGTTGCTGAGTCCAAATTTTTAACTTCCCACCAAAAATGCCCTCCGCACCCCCCCAAATCTTGAAAAATAAGAAAAAAATATGTTTCTTTAGGAAACCGTTTTTTGTGGTTTCACGAATAAAATACCTACAATTTTGAAATGTAGATATACAGTATGCAACCAAAAACGTCCTAAAAGCTTTTACGTACTACACTACGCACGTAGGGGGCGCTGGCATTCGTTGAAGTATGCTCATTGGCCACTGGCGTCTGGCGCACTTCGCTTAACAACCCACGACTTTCGTGTTAGCTCTCCGTTCACCCGCTTTATCTTTCGTTTTAACCACCCCCCTCTTTTAATCTCTCTTATTTTTCAACATCTGGAAGTCAGCCCTCAAACTCCAACTTTTCCCCTCCTATTTTCAGATAAGTTCAGAATTAAGAACGCATCTATATATTTAAAAAATATAGACTTTTATTACTAAATTAAATTACCTACTATTTTCCGTTAACTGGAGCTGAGGGCCCACAGCTGAAAATTATGTTCATGCACACAAAAAGATTTAATTGGTTTCAAAGTCCAGTTTTTAAAGTAGATTGATTATTGATCCATTGAAGAAGACAAAAAAGGAAGTTTATAGAAACGACTCATCTGACAATTCTTCCGTGTTTTCGGAAAAGCTGGACCATCAGATTCCCCAAAATAATCTCATCAGCTTGATGGGCCACCTTTTCAAATAGTAGTTCGAATTCCTCTGCTTGGCCATCCTCTTCATCAAAATCTTTGACGATATTTTTAGGGCTATTGTCGCATGAACTGTTGCACTCGAGGTACATTATTGAACATTTCAACCAACTTTTCCTTCATATACACGCGCCACGGCATCCTTTTTTTTACACCCAGGAGATTAGCTTTAGAATGTTTGGTGGAGCGGAAGGTATAAAGGTAGTGACAGGAGTAGCTAGTACTTTTCCAGCTCCATTTTTGTGGTTCCATGACATTTTCTAGCCAAAGTTGGACTTGGTGGTACGTCCTGAATGAGTGTTTCTTCATGTTGGAGGCAAAGAGGATATATTATTGTGTTTACTGATGTACACAGTCCTAATGAAACACTGATGTCTAAAACCGTTTAAAATCATGTTGTCATCCTTGCAATCATACAAACGATTCCAAGCTTTTGCGATAGCTTGTGCGCCTGCATTTTGAATAAGAAACAGCTGAGCTAAGAAAAACAAATCTGGGTTCTAGACGAAGACTTTAATAAATTTGGTTTTCACGTCGCCAAAAGTCGAAGACGTAAAGTCATAGCCGCTGAAACCGTGTAAAAGTATGTTTTTAGTCACTGTGTTTTCTTTAAGACCAAAGGGTGAGTAGATCTGTGCTTCATGAAGTAAATATTGGCGGATTGAGCAAGTGCAGTTAATAGAACTAAAAAATGTATATCTTCGCCGACAATAATCACCGATGGATAAATTGATACCATTTCAATTTTCTGTATTAACGATGAGACAGTCTACGTCTTCGTCAGTTTGTCGCACTGTCGACTTCCTTTTAATCATTTCAATGAGGCGATGTTTATTTCTGCTGTTGGATAAAAAATTTGCCTGGCCAACACGGAGTCATAGATTCATCAAAAATTATTTCAACCGATGACTGCTTTCTTTCCCTTCGCAATCTTTCTGCGCTCTTCAGGGGAGGTGATGAACCAAGAAATTGAAAATGACAGTCAGCTAGGTCGTGAAAGTGGCGAAAACCAAGCAGTTATCGTCTAATGTCCCAGCGTGCGTACGGCACCAAGGCCCATGTTCTGAGACGCGCTAACGCCTTACCCATTCTCCCTACGTCAAAATATCATATGACTTTTTTGTCTCAAATTTTCTCTACTTTTCAAATTTCCAGATAGTTTTTCTCTGAAATACACAAATTAACAGGTTTTTTTTAAAAACGATATTTTTTCTTTTTTTCAAAAATTGGGGGGGTTGCGGGGGGAATTTTTGGTGGGAAAATTCACAGACACATAGACACAGAAAACATAAATCAAGCCTATGTCTAGAACTATCATGAATTTTGCATCCTAGACTATAAATTGGTCGAGCCGTTACCTTAAAAAATTGCCAACGTACGTACGTACATTAATACAGATGGAAAAAATTTTAGTCTTGGGAAGTTGCTTAAAATGATCTAAAACGTCGACATTTGATGAAGTTTTGACATGTCCAAAAAACCAGCTCAAGCTTGGATGTTAAAAATCACCTAAAAATGATTGAATTTGAATGGATGTTGGGGTCAACTGTGGCATTTAAGGCGGCTCTGCAGTGAATGTTGAGCTATCCGCAAAACAGCGAAACATTTCTTTAAAATGTTGATTTTATAATCGCATTTAAAAAAAGGGCCGATGTCAAATATTGTAGGTATTAACCAACAGAATGATTGTGCGTAAACCATTTTTTGAAGTTTGCCATAATTTTGGAAATAACTAGTACAATTGATAAAAAAAGCTCCTCTATAAAACATAGGGTTTTGGAGATTAACAACCAACTAACAAAATTGTATGATTGTACATAAATTAATCTTTTTCATCCCTTAAATTAAGAAAAAAAAATTGGGGAAAATATTTTGATGACATCATGAAGTATTTCACCAATTGTAAGCAGAGTTAGGCAACTTAAATTACACCATACGCCCGCCGGCGAAATGGTCATTAACTGGCAATTGCGAATTAATCCTATTTATTTTTCTAACAATAGCATTAGAGATTAGGCTATTCATTGTTATCTGTAATGAAATTCACCTCTTTGGGCTTTGTCCGACGTCTTTAACACCTTCCCGTTAATTAGATATCAATGTAATTTAATTTATTTCTTTGCTGGTTTCATTGATTAGAAGTTTGTAATGGTAAGGTTCTTGTGGATACCTACTTCCGTAATTACACCAAGTATTACAGGCTGTTGCACGCAAATCGTTATCTACAAGCTTTCATTGATCAATTAAATCTGAAAATGTGCATACCAACATTCCAACAGTTTTTCTTGGCCTATCGAAAGAAAATTTATTATCATGATCGTTTCACTTTCGGTTCTATCGCATGTCGGTTGCAACTTTTTATTTTAAGTAGAACACCCTGTATTGTATTGCATTTTCGAAATCTACATGAAAGGTTCAAAGGTTTTCAAGATTTTTCAAAATTTTTAATGTTTGACTGGTACCTAGTCCTGTATGTATGACTCCGTTGACTTGAATTACAAAATCGACAGTAGGTACTCACATGCTGCTGCGTGGCAATGATTTAAATTTTGATAGGCCTTCTACAGAGTGTTTTAAAACTAATGGTCAACTTTATTAACTTCAAACCTTAAAAAGTTGATTTTTCCAACGAAAATGTTTTATTATAGATTTTCTGAAATTGTGACCGTTATGCATACTTTTCTTATAGGACGCATTGAAATAAATGCGTTAGTAGATGTTATTTTACCAGCATTTGAGACTTGACACGAAGAAAACAACTGGTTTCAACATAACGGAGCGCCGGCGCATTCTATCCATCATGCTTATATGTCTTTGACGCACATTTTTGAAGACAGGAGCCAGAGGTCCGTGGCGTTGGCCTCCTAGAACTACAGATATAACGCCATTGGGCTTTTTTGTGTAGGGTCATATAAAGACAAAGTTTACTTCACACCAGTTGCTTTCCGTGAAGAGCTGGAGTTAGGCTGAGAAGAGCTTTTAATGAAATGGATGTAGAGAGGCGACTACCAAGTACTAACGGGATTAATCGGAGGATCCGATTATGTGTAGTGTACTTAACCCCCAAAGTTCTACGCTACCTTCACACTACAAGAACCGGGAAATAA